GTAGATAATGGGCTCAAATTCACGGTACCTTTTGCGAGGGGAATATTTTAACCCTTAGAGATATTTGTTAACTCCTTATGTTCCACACTTGATTTTCATGGCTGCAACATTTTGACAAAGTCTGTGTACCTAATAGATGCATCTCTGGAGAAAGCCAATAGTAGTATCTCATTATGAATGAATATGCAAAATGAATTCCGATATATGAATAAATTACTAGAGAATATTCCACTTCAAATAACACATTATGATTGTACAAAATTCATCCGCGGACTTACTTTTTAATTCCCTGAAATGCGATATGAAACCTGCAGATTTTATTTGAATGATTCGTTTATTGTTATGTATAAAGATACACAATGAGCAATCAATGCTGTGCCCGGTTTTTAGTGTTATAAGTCTTAAAACTTACCGTTAAGCTACTACGTGGCTTATTTGAACGTTATTTATAAACTGTCAGCTTTTTTCTAATGAACTACTTGTATTTATTGATTAGGAAACTAATTATAAGATTCTTGAGATGTATTTTGATGTCGCAAATTGATTTCCCAAGCTAGAAATGAAAATTTTCGGATTATATTTTCTTCGTACTCTTTGTTTAATGCCGATAAATACAGAAGAGTTTTGATAATATTCTAATCTAAACCCTTCATTATCTGAGGTGTTTATCTTAGGAATGATGAAGAACAGATGTGAATCACAGTTAGATCAACCAGCTGTTGCAACATGTGGGAACACTGCAAACACAACGTGTACACGTGCAGCCTTTCTGTTGCTGCATGGCAGTTCTGCAACCAAGAATTACCCTGTTTTAATCTTCTTTTTTTTTCAACCTTAACATTACATAATCGTGTTTGTTATTCTATAATATCGCGTAGGATGTTTAAGTAACCTTTTAAAGTGTATCTTATAATTATAAGACGATTTCTTTCGTTCCTCAATCGTTGGTATTGTTATGCAGCAGTATTGTTTCACTCTTATTTTATAAACGGTTTCTTGAGATAATTTATGAAAGCATTCTGTGTTGTTTTGTCATATTAATATTATTGATTATTTTTTATAGCTATGTGTTACAGACTTAAGCAAGAAAAGTAACCGTCTTTGTAATAATCTGATTTATGTAAACTGTGAAGATAGGATTTTTTAAAAACAAATCCGAAAACAGCGTTTATCTAATCAAAAACACTATAGCTATACAAGTTTGGATTATACAAGTGTCCATGGGCGCCCGCAGAAAATGGCAAGAGGGGGCATTTGCCCTCCTTACATTTCACAAACAATTGCACGTATTATGATGTAAACTTAACGTCGTAGTTAAACTATATATATTTTGAGTATTTTTTATTAAAACTGTAAATTTACGTATGCGTTTAAGCACACATGACAAATATTCGTTTAGTTGTTTGTTGACTTGAACTCTAAAGGCTGATCCCCTAAATACTCCCCCAGAAAGAGTAATGAGAACAACTTGGTTTAACCCTTCAAGAGTTATTGTTTTGGTGTACAGATACTGTACAGATTTTGTGTTCAAGTTAACATGGAAGATTTGAGGTGATCAGCTTATTTTATCCAGATTTACCTTGTCTCAACAGTTGGCTTCGATGGTATCATAACTATTTTAAGATATTTTACCGGTTATAACAATTAAAAGAAGTGAAATTCTTAGAACCCACGAGTAAAAGTAAAAGAGAAGTTGCTCTGATGCATCGGGTAAGTTACTTAAAAAGTTGGGGGGGGGGTAGATTCTTCCTTCTGTCTTTTTATTTTTCTAGCTTCTCTGTGGAGTGAGTGAATTTTTAAGTGTCTTTTGGGACAATTTATCATATTTTGCTCAGGCTTTTGTTTGCCTATGTACAATAGTTTTGTAAATTTTTCTTACAATGCATATTTTGTGACCGTGTCAATTCTGAAGAGAAATAATAAATAATGCAAGTCGTATAACATAAATTTATTCCTATATTCTTCATAAAAATAAAGGGGAGGCTGTAAGAGTCGTACTTTGATCACTGATGTTCGGACAAAATCCAACCGCATGGGCTTTATTGAGAAATGGGTTATGTTAGCAATTAACTTAATCACATCAATGGTAAAGTGTTACCTAATAATTTGGATTTAATTGTTTTGTTTTCAACAGATATTGTTGGTTTCATCCTCAGACAGAGAATATTTTGTCATAGTGATATTCCAAGGAGGGAGGGAATTGCTCTTCAACCAGAAACTGACCTTATATTTTATCCAGGTGTAGTAATGTTAATTACAAATTTTGACCAAGTTGTATTGGAATATCTCTTAGAGAGTAGATATGTGGTATCGCATGAGAAAATTCAATCTTCCAATTAGACAAAATTACCAAGTTTTCACTGTACTTAAACGAATTCCCAAACATGAGGAATCTTTCACCTTCCTCTTTTATTTTCTAATATTTCATTCTGTTATTCTGGTCGAGCGTGACCTGAACTAGGAATCAGAGGGTTTATAATTTGCATCTGTTACCGCAAAAATGCGTTCCACAATTTGAGACCGAGGGTTCGCTGCAGTGGTCTTGCACTGACGTCAAATGATCACGTGATCTATGGTAAAAATTTATATAACATTGACAATTTCAATGAGGATATTATGAAAATTGATCTTATAAATTGACATAATATTTAGTGATTATGTATAACTCTCTTTATCCCTGCCTTACATAATCTAATACAAACCAAGGCATTCCATCTTTCAAACTTATTATATTATTCAACTCTAACATAAGTTATGTTGGGTCAATTGTTTTTCACTGCGTGGCCGTTGACTCAGAATGAATCGCATAATTATCATGGTCAATAACGAATATAAATGATTTTATTCATCCTAGTCGTATATACACCAATATTTAGCCTCTCATACTTATTCAACTCCACCAAAAGTTATGCTGGGGCAATCGTTTTCCACGGTGTAGTCATTGACTCTGCATAAATCACGTAATTAACACAGTAGCTATACGATATTAGTAGCTTTCTTTATCTCGACCTTACATACTCCAACGAAAGTCCAAGCATTTATCACATCATAGAGGTTTAAAACTATATCTAAATACCTCTGACATTCCTCAAACCCTTACTAACCTTTCTAAAGTTATCCTTCCGCTGTTAAGAACTGGTCAACTTTGGTTTGTTCCCTATCAAGTTTGGCTGTTGGGCAGACTTTCTTTAACAAGGTCACCTCCAAACACTATTGTGGGTTGAAACAGGTAGAACTAGACCAGGTACACAAGTGGTCATATATTGACAAAGGTTGTGCTGTTGTTCTGTGGATATCTAGTCGGAATTTGCCACGTACTAAATAAGCCGTAAGTTTGTATATGTTCCTGTAATTTATAGTAATTTTCAGTATTAAATTAAAATATTTCTATATTTTAGTTATTTACACCATTACCTAAATTTAATGTATAAAATTAAATTTCTTAAATAGTAATAACTACATTGAGCAAATGTGATAGGCATGGTACACGAAACTTTAACTGTTTTGGTGCTTGGTAATTTTGCCAAGCAAACCCAACCTCATCAGGTGTTCTTGGACTAAAAACACCGCTAGCATCAAGGGTATCCAACTGATGACCTTGGGCAGAATGGTTATAGAAACTTCTTATAGTTTACCTGCTACTCATAGTTAAGATTAGTTATCATTAATATTTTAGCAGCTTTCCTGGTAGAACTCATTATATAATCGTGTTATCTAGGATTGTAGTTCATTTCAGAGATGTGCATAAAGAAAGATATGTTGAAAACTAAACACCTGTAGGGTTTCAAAGCCGTATCTTTTGCCATAGGCGATGCTCATTGCCAGTGACAGCGTGTAAAGTTTTACCGAAAACAAAAAAATTGTGATGTCACTTACAAAATGGTTAAATCCCACTATTAGATCAAACAAAAGTAGCCCCAAGAGTTGGTGGTGGGTGCTGTTGACTAGCTACCTTATCCCTAGTCTGTCAGTTCTAAACTAAGGACGGCTTGTGCAGCTAACAAAAAGTCTAAGTACAACAACAACAGCATTATTCAAGTTGCATTATATGTAATATACAAATAAATAGGTGTTAAAGATGTCATCCGTGGCGCCACGATGATATGCCACCGAATTTCATGTGCAAATATTTCATATAGAGTGTATACCATTAATCCATACAATGATTGCCCTAGAACTTCACGGAACTTAATATCTTACAAAAGGTACCTCGTCTTAAAAACGTTTAAGGCGTGGGAGGGATTACTTTTCTTTTTTTAGAACCATTAAGTTTACGTTTAACTTACTATATGTATTTAATCCCCTATGATTGTTAACTCGTTAAGTTTCCGAGAAAATTCTTCTTAGTTTCATTAAAATAAAGTTAGTTTATATTACTGGAATTGTAAATAAACTTACTGATTAGCCAGAAGTACCAGTTTTGATAGGCTTAACTAAACTCACATATGGATCCTGTATTCAGTGTATCTTTATTGAAGTAATTATCCATTTCAGATTTTTTGACAATAAATCAGGTGATCTATTTACCTTTGGTATAATCATTAATTTTTCTAATCCCTTAAAAAAAGTTGAATTAATTTAATAGATCAATATTTGTAGTGGTAACTAATATACATGAATTACAACATTTTACTAGCATTTCAAGTTTGTTGGAGTTTTAGTAAACAGATATTTTCAAATACTTGCATGAAAAGGCTTTTGCTTTTCAGCGTTGTGTTGTTGTTATTAAACTGAAACTAGTTTAATCCCTTTTCTTTAAACTGATCCAACAAGGATTAGTGCTAAAGAAGCCTTTCCGTCATTACGAGATTTCACCAGTGTGTCACAATACACAAAGTGTCCGTTCAAAATTAAATAAATGGCTCAGAGTTAAAATAATTTTTCACCACATAATAAGTTTATTCTATATTTTAATCACAATCTTTCAAGATCTCATCATTAGTTGCGAGGTTAGGTCTTTCACTTTCCTCCAATAATGTTGAAACGCTAATTTTTTACAGGTCATCGAACCTTATGAAACACAACGACTTAAGCAGGTAATAAAACACGATATCTTAACTAATAAAATTAATTAACAATAAGATTGATCATAACTTTATTGGTATTATTTATTTCTGACCCATTACAGGTTCCCAATAAAAAAAGAGGGTGCAGTAGCATCTCTTCTACAGCTGGTAGGTATGAGGTCGTGTACTAAACACCAGAGCTTCTCACGCCACCTAAATTACTACATCTAATGTATTAGTTGAAACGCTATTAATATAATGCATGGAGACAATAAAGCGTTTGATGTATAACACTGAAGGTTAATCTGACTTTTTCAGATCAATGTTCCATCTTCCCTGCAACTACTTCTTTCATTGTAATCCGTTGTCAGAACTTTAAATATATAAACACCTGAGTGGGTGTTAAGGATTCTTTTATAGTAGGTGTCTGTGACTTGTTAGCGATAAATTAGAACAATAAACGGACAGCACGCACTCCACTTGTTTAAAAAAATATATTCAAAACAAGATAAACGCATGTACAAAAATTATTTTACACTATGTATATCATAGTTGTTTTCTTAAACACTATACAATTCTCTTCTTATTATCAAAAGTCCACTTAGGCTAATTCAATTGCTTTAGAATCCAGTTGACAAGCCGAACTGTTTTTCTCTACTTTTATTTCAATAGTATCGGTGAATAATTCACTTACGTTGCATAGTGGGTTACCACAGTTGTATCCTTCCAATAATTGTCTTCTTTCCGTCACTTTGGTCGCCACTATTTATATATTTATCACTGAGGCTTCTAGAAATATCTATAGCCTCGATATCAATGAATTGCAAACACAACGTACGACTCTTACCGAGTTACTTAACCAAACTTGTCATAACTGTCGCCTTTAAAATAATTGCTTTTAACTCTCTGGTTATTAACAAACTAAACAATCAGAGCCCGGCATGGCCAAGTGGTTAGGGCGCTCGACTCACAACCTGAGAGTCGCGGGTTTGAATCCCTGTCCCACCAAACATGCTCGCCTTTTCAGCCATGGGGGCGTTATAGTGTGATGGTCAATCCCACTATTCGTTAGTAAAAGAGTAACCCAAGAGTTGGCGGTGGTTGGTGATGACTAGCTGCCTTCCATCTAGTCTTACATTGCTAAATTAGGGACGGCTAGCGCAGATAGCCCTCGTGTAGCTTTGCGCGAAATTCTAAAAACCTAAAACCTAAACAAAAATGAAATATTAATTCACAAAATAAATTAAATAATAATGCCTACACTAAATTGTCTTGTATATCCAACGTCCGTATTCAGTCTAATGCCAATCATTCCTTTCTATTTACTACAGCAAAAGACGAGCTGGCGGGCGCTCTTAGATCCCACATCGTGACAATCTTTCAACAGGCCTTCTGTACGTGGATGTCGGCGTTTAAGACAACATATAGTAGAACAAATGCATAAAAGTCCACTAAAGGCTCGCCAAGGACTTGAAAAGTATGTGGTTTATATGGTTGAACGAGACTGTTATAAATCCACCAGTTTTTTTCGTTCATCTTTGTCCTGAAAAAAAATGCTGATTTCGAAGTATTGAAAGAATCTTGTGAGCCTTTGTCAGTTTCCTTAATGGCGCAAGGAGATACATACAGCTCCACGTAGTGACTTTTTTGGGTCGGATGGTTCTCTTTCATAACAATAGCCTTCACTTTGTAGATTAAAGCGTTTCTTCAGATTGATTTAATGTGTGTTTTCGGAGCTCAATTGGTGTCCTAAAAGCTCCGCTTTACGAGTTTTTCTGCTTCCAGAAAACACCGAAGACTCTTTCTTTGAACGGTTGTGTGTCCCTTTGTTCTATATCGTTTAATAATCTCACTGTGCGAATACCCTTCCTCGAAAACGACTGTAACAAAATTTTCCAGCCGTAAGTCTGTTTGTAAGGGTACAGTATTGTCGAATGGTCGTAAAATCACCTTGTGCATGTGTTCTATGTCGTAGTGGCGCCACGGCTCGCATTGCAAGCCACTGCGTTAGCATATGCATATAATTCGTATAAGGTAATTACTCCCACGGCAGGTGATAGTTTGACTGGTGCCCTAGGCAAAAATTAAGACTGCGTCTCTGCTTACACTAGACCCCCAGAACATTTGGCGCCCCGAGAATTTAGCTCCCTATTCAGCTGTCTATATTGCCTACCTTTAACACCAGGCCTGATTAATCCCGTGTTTGATATAAAACACTCTTCTCGTCTCTTATGCACTAAGCATTTTCTAAACACATACCACACGTTAAAGGCCCATTTTAGATTGACGATTTTTATTTTCAAGGATAATTTTTGTAATGTGTATCCACATTGTCACAATACATTCTGTAAAGACAAGTATCGCTCGGAATGAAAAATTCGTTGAGGCAGTTAAACATACATTAAGTACTTGAATTTCTAGAGTAAAAAAAAAATGGAAAAAATAAATAAAATCGTTATACAAAAAATATATCGACTCGCTTGAAAGACGAAATAGATTAAGTGGTCAAGTGACGAAACATGCAAGTGATAACACAGTAAGTATAGGGTTCAACGTGTTATTTAGTAACACTGTGAAGTGGCCCGCACTTATATTTCAATTTTCTGACTTAATCGTTGTGTAAAACTTAACAGATGATGTGTTTTGTTTGTTTCAGAGAGAATTTTGTGACTGGCATGTCATGTGTGATAAATCCGCGTAACAGTGTCACGGTTCAGTTCCTACACCAAGCTGACTGTCGTTAAAGCTATAACAGTTTACGTCATGCTTAGAGCCAAGGAGTTAAAGCTATCCGAGGAGACTGACTCTACAGCAAAATGTAATTTCAATATCCTTATAGCCGTATTATAGCGTATAGCAACTTACTAATTAATGGATGCTGTATTTATATGTCTTTTTTTAGTTCTTAGAAATTCTTGATAAAGTAAGTAATTGAAATAGCTCTTTTGATGACTATAAATTGATATCGATAAATATCACTGAACTGATTGTAAACAGGTAACACAAATAGCGTTCAATCTGTTTCAAGTTATTGTTGAGATTTACGTACAATCCTTGTCTCAAGGTTCGTGCATTCTTGCTGTTTAAGAAAAGTTCTAACTAACCAATCAAAACGGTACTGTAAGGGTTAAATCTCATCTGCATCTCATGCAACATATGGGGTGAATGGAAATTTCAGAGACTCAAAGGTTCACGGTTGCCTGTTTTTAGTTTAAATTTTCTGACCATAGGGACCCGCCGTCTACGTGGCTAATATTAGCCGAATAACAGAATTTTATGTTTTTATAACGTGTTCACAGCGTGTTCAGCAACATATCGCGGGCTCGAAAGTTGAATCTTTCGATCTGAAGTCTGGCACATTCACCATTAAGCCTACACAATATATAAAATTGTTAATATATAGACATTATATGGTTTGAATGATAGGAAACTATTTTTTATTTATTTGCGCACTTTCTAAACTGTACACTTTAAACGATATAAATCTCAATATTCACATAGAAAACAGTATGTTTTCTGTTCTTACATTTTGACAATATTAGAATAAAAAATATTGCAGAATTATTCAACTTGAAAAAAAACACTTCAAATTTAAAAAATAGTTTTAAAATAGGCCAAGCTAACCATGCAGTTTGTCTATTTTGGGCAAATTAAACTCTATTTTGTTATAACTATTAACAAACAATTCAGAGTGAGCCTTTTTCGAGACAAATAAGGTAACCACAGTAAGGTATGTCATTAATATTTAAGTGATAAAGAGGTTCACAAAGATAACAAGCTAGTCAACTTTTGTCACGTGACTGGGTGTGAAAACAGAAAGCTATACAACTGACAATGTCTCAGCACCCACAGTATTCTAGGCTGAAGAAAAAGTGAGGGTGGTGTTCTCAACATAAATTATGACTTACAGGTTTGACAGGTTCTCTTCGGAGTTGATTAATTGTCCTGCCCTACTCCTTCCCCTACCTTCTCAGGGTTTGCAATAAGCTGGTCAACATTATATCAGAGCAAGGTTACATTTACATCTCGAAATTATCCCGACTAATGTATATATATATAACCATAAAACCCTACTGCTTTCGAGACATGAATAAGTATCTATATAATAAGATTCAGTGTCTGTATCACGTAACTCTTGCTAAACTGCTGGTCGCACCAACTTCTAAGTAGTACCAAACGAATCGTCTCGGTCCCGAGAATTGCACAAAGGTAAAACTTTTCACCCAATCCCATAGATATCTCAAGTATTTCATGAAAACACTTTTACGGGATTTCCCGAAAGCGGACCCCAAATATGGCACCGATTTACATTAGAGCACTTAAATATGTAGGCCTACTAATTACCGTTCGTAACCTGATGATAGAAATTAAATTTGCATTATAATAGAATAATAAACTGAAAAAGTGCAAAATAGGAGTTCAAGCACTAAATTTGCGTTATAGTGGCCCTGTAAATGTAGGCCATAGGCTTACAGATTCACAAGTATAAACTATAAAATCCTATAAAGATTACCCTATTGGTTTCGAGAGATGAACAAATTTACATATATAATGATAGCAACGCTTTCAACAAAAGAACTTGTCCTCATCAGGTCAAAGATAACTCTATAATCCCAGAAAATATTTTTATAACCCATTTTCAGATGGGGTTGTAATCATGGCATTGCACAAAAAAGTTTTTGTTACGACAAGAAAAGGTTAATGTTATTAATTTTTCTTCCCTTCCTTAACCCGATGAAATGAAAATATTTTTGTATAGTTGTTTCATTAAAAAACTTTAAGTTCATGGTACTGCAAACCAGTGGTAAGAAAACGTGTATACTTATTATAATTAATCTAAAGCTGAAAATATTATATTACAGTTATAACTTTTGCAGTACGTGAGATTTGTTTTTAGAACAGGTACAACGTTTAGACTAGTGGTGCAATCATCCCTCAAGTACTCAAGCTTTTTGAGAATGATCGCACCAGTGATCGGAACGTTGTGTCTGTTCTAAAAACAAATCTTACTGTAACAGATGTAACTGTAATATAATATAATCAATCAGAAAGTAAACGTAAACAAAACTATTAAATCGGGAAATGTTTTAGCGGGATTTGAAATGTAGTCGTTATTCGCTTACTGTACAGAACAGTTTTTAATAATTAGTTTAAATTTACTGTAATCATTTACTGTATAGAATAGGAACAAATACACTGATAACATTAATTATAAAACAGCTTCAAATAGTACGTCAGTCAGGATTAATTTATTTTAACTATTTACTCTATATAATAAAAAATCTACTGATGTTATTGATTATAAAACAAAATATAACCTACGACGTAACTTTTAGATATATTGACGTATTTCGCGACTATGTATTGTAACTTACGATGTAACATACTGCTGTATTTCGCGACTATGTGATATAAGTTAGTGATTTGTTGATGATGTCATAGAGAGTATCATTTTTTAGATATATTCGTGTATTTCGCGACTATGTATTGTAACCTACGACGTACGTTTT